GATATATAGATATATATATATATATATATATATATATATTTATATTTGATAGAGAGAGAGAGAGATAGAGAGAGATATATATATATATATATATATATATATATATATATATATATATATATATATATATATATATATATATATATATATATATATATATATAACATATATACAGTTAATTAATCTCTATAAATTAATACAGTCGGAACTAGCAAAATTTTATTAATTTAGTGAAATATTAAATTATCGAACTATTAATTTAGAAGGTTTTTACCGAGTCGTGACTAGAAAAAACTTTTATATAAGCGAGGTTATCAATTTATCGAGTATTAATTAATCGAGATTCTACTGTATTTTGTTTTTGTTAGGGTTGAGTTACACTCCGACAAGCATCATGTTCTTGAATGTACCGAGTATTTCAAAGATGCAATGGCATCCGTTCACAATTAGCTCGAATAGTAATTTGGAATCCGATAAAATAAGTGTGATTATTAAAGGAGAAGGAAAATGGACTAACAAGCTCCAGGAGTTGCTCGCCTCGCCTTCCCCCGTCGATCGCCTTGATGTTTCCATCGAAGGGCCTTACGGACCCGCTTCCACTGATTTTCTAAGGTACAAGATACACATTAATTTCAAACACAAACTTTACCCGATTGTACACTTAGCCGGTTTTAAGGGTGAAATCGGACAGATCGAATCGAAATCAACATTTTCGGAAGAAAATCAATTTTTTTCGAAGTGAAAAACTAATTTTAATTTTGTTAAAAAAAACATCGGAATTTCGGAAATTGTAATGAAAAGGCTGAATTCGGAAAATTCCAACTTTTTAGTCACTTCAAATATCAAAATGCATAACAATATTCATATTATAAGTGTAATTTTCGGATAAGAAAAAAATCGGAGTTTTCAAAATTACTTTTGAAAATTGAATTGGATCGGAAATTGGAATCTCCTATATATTCCAATTTCGATAAAAAAAAATCGTAAAAAAAAAAAGAAAAGGGAATCGGATTTTCAGAATGAAAAATACTGTTCCAAAATCGAAAAATTTCGGACCAGAATCAACGAAAATTAACAACACGTTCTGTTTCTATATAGGCACGACCTTTTGGTAATGGTGAGCGGAGGTAGTGGCGTAACGCCTTTCATCTCGATAATCCGCGAGCTCGTCCACACGACCGAAACAACGAAATCGAGCACACCCAATATTCTACTCATCACCGCGTTCAAGAACTCCACTGACCTAACAATGCTAGACCTAATCCTCCCAATCTCCGGCGCTTCTTCCGAGATATCCCGTCTAGACCTACAAATCGAAGCCTACATAACCCGAGAAAAACAACCCGCTACCGAAGAAAAGAAAACGACCCGAACCATTTGGTTCAAACCCAACCCGTCCGACGCCCCGTTGGCTCCAATTCTCGGCCCGAACAGCTGGCTCTGGCTATGTGCAATAATCTCGTCCTCTTTCGTCATCTACCTAATTTTAATCGGAATCTTGACGAGGTACTATATATTCCCGATCGATCACAATACGAATAAGATATATTCTTCTTCATGGAGAGCGGTGCTACACATGCTATTCCTATGCATCTGCATAGGAATAACATCGACCTCCGCGTTTCTTTGGAACAAGAGTGAGAAATCGAAAGAAACCATGCAAATTCAGAATATGGAGGGGGCCACGCCCGCGGCCTCGCCGAATTCTTGGTACTATAACGCGGATCGAGAACTCGAGAGCTTACCTCACGAGTCGATTTCAAAGTCTATCAACTTGCATTACGGAGAAAGACCGGACCTTAAAAGTAAGTTATAATTGAAGTATTGTTGTTAGTATTATTAGTTTTTGAATAAATTATTAATTTTTATTTTTTTTTCAAAACGTAGGGTTTTTATTCGATCGAAAGGAGTCGAGCGTTGGGGTTCTCGTTTGCGGGCCGAAGAAATTGAGGCATGAAGTTGCAAATATATGTTCATCTGGCTTGGCCGCTAATCTGCATTTTGAGTCCATCAGCTTCAGTTGGTGATGTCATCATTTCATATGTATATCTATACGCACATACATACATATATATACATATATGTATGTGGACTCATCAGTGGCTTTGTTCTGTTGAGTTTTCTTTTGTTTTTGTTTTTGTTTTTCTTTTTCTTTTTCTTTACTTGTGTTTGGTATTGTTTGTTTGTTTCAGCGTTGGATCTACAAATGTAAAGAAACAGAATACACCTCTCTTCCCTTTGTAAAATGTAAAAATAAATAAAAATAAAACATGAATAATATATATCACTGAGTTTTCCTTGTTGTGAAATTATGAGTTTCAAGCATTTCGTTTAACGGTCTTGTAGATGCTATACAGGGCCGGAGTATCTCGAGGCCTAGAGCGAACAAAAAAAGCAGGCCCTTCGAAAAAGACTTATTCCCATTTTAGGGATATGCCGTATCCCGTATCTGTATTATATTTCCCATTTTCTCGTATCGTCGTTTCCGTGTCCACAAACAGTGTGTATTTATATGATCAACTTCAATCCACTATTTCCATTTCCCTACACGGCTCCACCCCCCGTATATATATATATATATATATATATATATATATATATATATATATATATATATATATAAAACAAGGAATTAAATAAAAGAAAAAGTGGAGGGTTGGATGGTGAATCATGCAGACATCAGCATGATGCAATACCAATAGGTGGAAGTTGTGCATGTTGCAATGGCGGATCCAGGCAGATATTTTGTGGGTGGGTGGTGGGGTGGGGGGGGGGGTGGTTGGGAATTTTTGTATAGAGTTATTCACAACTAAAATTTAGTATATATTTATAATTTTATTAAAAATTATAAATTTTAGTTGTATTATTTTATATTGTCATAACAAATAGAACAAAATATCTAAATTTACACAAGAGATCAAAACAATTTTTTTTGGAGGGGTAAAAACACATATTTATAAAATATTATGCCAAAAAAGAAATTTAATTTTTCTTTTATCTTGGAGGGGCGGCTGCCCCCCACCTGCCGCTTCCTTGTTACGCCAGTGGCATGTTGGAGACACATGTTCATTAAGTGGGGATCTAATACCAACTCCCAAGAGAATGTAATGACAATGGAAAAGTTAGTACACCAAATTGAACATTTTGGCTCATTTAATAAATGTGACTTTTTATTCAAAAAGCTGATAAACTCTTATATTTGAACAGTTATTTTAATATCTGATAAGCCATTTTAAGAGAATAAATTGTGACATTTTATTTATTAAGATTAGCATGAAATTCCTTTTTTAATATAATATATAATTACCCTCTAATTTAATCTAAAACAATAAAGAAAGCAATGAAAGTAAATATGTGTTGGATATAATATATATGTATATCCACTTGCCCATCACACACACACATACACACACACACACCACCTTGTGAGCTCACTCTATATAAATTTCCTTCCATTTCACATAAGAAAGAAAATAAAATCAAGAAAATATATAGCAGAAGTAGAGAGAGAAAGAGATCAAGAGTGAGAAACAATGGCTTCTTTTTCTTGCTCTGCAATAATAATATCTGCAATTAGAGGAGCAATTCTGCTGCTAGCACTAATTGTTTTTCTTGGTAATATAATGATGTGGATTATTATGCCTACTGATACTTATTACAATAAATGGCTGCTCCATATCATCACTGCCACTAATTCAACTTTCTTTGAAATACAAGGCAAGATTCCTTCTTTCTTTTTTTTCAATTAATTAAATTTATTTTGTTTTTGTGATAAAATATTAATTAATTATACATTAATTATTTTCAGGTCCAATAATGCTGAATTTCACATTCCCCATATTGTTCATTGCTGTTCTTGGATGTATATATCTGCATTTAGGGAAGATGAAAGCTGCAAGAGTGACAGCACCAAGGTTTATTTTTTAATTAATTTTCTTGCTATTATATTAATTGCACATCACCCCCTGTAAAATTTTAATTTTCGCACTTTACTCCCTCATTTTTTTTAAAGTGAATGCCCCCTTCAAAATATTATCCATGTTGCACATTGTCCTAATAGCAAAACTCCTATGGATTATCGCAATTGAGTATTTTTGTTGTATTTGTTGCACGTCGCCCCTTAAAAACACTATTTAATTGCCAATTGCCCCTTTAAAATGTTATTTTTGTTGCGCAATGCCTCAAAAAAATTGGTTTATGGGGCAAAGTGCAACCAAAATAATATTTTAAAGAGGAAATATCCGTTTTTTGAATTTTAGAGGGGGGGGGGGGGGGGGGGGGGGGGGGAAAATTCCCAAAAAAAAAAATTTTAAAGGGGGGGGGGGGGATTTTCCCAATTTCCAAAAAAATTTTTTAAAAAAAGGCGGGGTTTTTGACCAGGGCCAAAACCCCAAAAAACCCCGGGTCCTTAAAAAACCCAAAAATTTTAAAGGGCCGGGAAACCCCCCCCCAAACGAACCAAACCCCCCCCCCCTGGGCCTTGGCCCCCGGCCTTGGGAACTTGGAAAAAAAAAGCCCCCCTGGGGGAAAAAAAGCCCCTTTCCCCCCCCCCCAAAAAAAGGAAAAAGGGGAACCTATACCCCCCCCCCCCCCCTTTTTTTTTTTTTAAAGGGCCAAAAAAACCCCCAAAAAACACCCCGAAAATACCAAAGGCCGGGGCCCCCCCCATTTGCCACCAGCCAAAATTTTCCCCACGCCCCCCTTTGGTTCCCAAAAAAAGACCCGGGGAACCCCCAATGCCCCAAATAAAAAAAAAGGCCCCCACAAAAAAACAAACCCGGGAAGGGGGCCCCAAAAACCCCCCTTGGGGGCCCCCAAACCCCCTTTTTAATGCCCCAAAGAACCAAAAAACCCCCTTTAAACCCAAAACAAAGAAAAAGGTTTTTGGCCAAATATTTGAAAAAAAATTTCCCGCCCCCCCAAAAAAAATTTTTTT